CCCCCATCCTATGCATGTAAGATTGACCAGACATTCCTGTTTTGCTCCAGGGCAGTAAGGGAATACTGCAGTGTTAATAAGGTTTGCAGGTCAGCATTGTGCAGAAGTTGCATACCATATATTATACTGTGAGAGTCTGTGGGGTGTATCTTGCATCTGATTTATTATCACACTTCAAGTTGCTGTTCTGTCTTTTTAACTCTGTTCCATACCTGTGGTTTGCAAACCAGCCCCTACAGTATTCTCAGTCTCTGTACATGGTTTTGGAGTCAACTGAGCTCTCTGTATCCAGAGCTCGTGCCTCTAATGGCAAAAATCACCCTGAGCCAAACTTTTTACTAACATAAATATGAAAAATCTCATTAAAGTCAATGGAACTGTGCCCATTACAACAGCAGAGATTTTGGTGTTCTGTGCTCATTTTGCATGTTCTTGCAGGTGAAATGCAAAAGCAGAGATTTTTCTTCAGGAGATATCCATGATTTTTCCTAGGCCAGGATCTAATCCCCTGCATAGCCTACAGCGGCTGGTGACATGGAGAATTTTCTAATAAGTAACCTTGAGAAAATGGTCTTTGAAGCCCATATCCAGTCATGTTAGAGAGAAGCGAAACAGAAAATACGTTTTTTCTGCAGAAACACGTGACTGCTGGCAGAGTTGTCTGCTGTCTTAGAATGATCTTTTCCTGACAGTGGTATGTAAAATCAGAGGAGGAAGGCAATTAAAGGAAAGGCCATTTCAGTGGTCAGTTTGTTGGTAACTCTTCCTGGTGTTTGAGCAGATCGTGCATAAGCACAGCTGGAGTGCATGTAACAAGAGAAGAGGATGAAGAGGTGTGTCCTAGGGTCTTTTTTTTTAAAAAAAAAAAAAAGTCAAGATGTGATTACCTGTGTTGGTAGTAAAGTGTGTCCGTGTGTAGCAAGCTGAGAGCAGAGGAACTGTAGGTTGGATGTGACCACCACCTTTCATTTAACATAACTTCAAGAAGTCACTGAATTCCTTCTATGTACACAGAAAGCTGGAGCTGTGATAATCCTCATCTTGGGTGCTGGTGTGTGCAAGTCAGATGTAGGTGAAGGTCATTCACTAGCCAAAGTTTTGAGGGAGTTTCTGTGTCCGCAGGTAAAAAGAGAAAAATCTGAGAACAGGTTAAAGGAACTGATGGGAACAATCATAGAAGCATCAGTCATGTGGCCCCAAGAAAAGAATTAGAGATCTTTTGGGGAAAAATACTGATTCGAAGAGGTTTCAGACTGGGAGCAGTCTTCTGGCTTTTGTTTCTTCCATGACATGGAAATTAAACATTTTTACTTTTCTTTCACCAGTCTCTCTACCTGGAGTACCCTATATTTTGGCTGAATGAAAAAATTAATAGTTTTTAAATTAATTCTGTGATCATATAGAAACCGTGCAAGAAAGTTATTAAGTTGTGATGAGGTAGCAAATAGAAACAGGAATGGTAAAAACAATGCTCCTTTTTAATTTTAATTGCTTGAAATAATCCTGTCAGAAAAGCTGCCAGCATCCAGACCTTCCCTGCAGAAGGTTTCGGTCGCAGGGTAGCGTAATTGCCACGCGGTTCCTCTGGCAGCCGGCAGCTAGCTCAGGTTCACATCTCGGCTGCGTTTCTACAGTTGAATCAAGTGTGTGTGGTATCGTGAAGGCAGCAAAAGAAGAGAAGAGCCCTCAAATGGGCACCAAACCCTTTCTTCCCTTGAAAAAACCAAAGCAAATGCCAGAAGGTGTCTCCTACTGGATAGAGCATTTGCTGTTGTATTAAACTTACCGGGTCGCATGCTGAAATTCAGTAGCCATGCCATGTACCGGGCCATAGAATGCTGACCGGGTACAACCGGGATCGTGCTGACCCCTCTGCTCTGGAGAGAGGCTGGGTGCAGGGTGCAGCTGATTCTCTGCATGGTTTGCTGGAGGGCAGCGCTAATGAGAAACCTGTAATGTGAAAAAAGGGCTTATAACTGGGGCAGGGGGGAATCCAATGAATGTTTAAAAAGGGAGATTCAGCTCAGCTGTTCCCATAGGGAGTTTGCTGACCAGCTTTTTTCTTTTTGATATCACTGCAGATCAGCAGTTCACCCTCTGTTACAGACTTTTCTTCTAAAGCTTGCCAGCTCTCCTTCCCAATGACTAACGCTGCATTCTTGCTATAGATCTGCAAACACATGCTGAATTTGTGAGATCAAAGACTGGATATTTACTGTTAGCAAGAAAGTATTTGACTCTGATTCGCAAGTATAATAAAGTCAACGTAACTTAACAAACAAGTAATCAGAGGAAATACATTTCAACAATGTGTATCATCAATAGACTTAGATGCAGTGTGGTATCTTTTAGAGTCAAATAATAATCTTCAATCTCTACAACACCACAGCATTTTTATAATAGGAAGGAGTTTCTGTAGGACAGTGTATCAATAGATTATATGTTTTTGTATCCTGCCTTCTAAAGCCGTGCAGTTCAGAGCTGTGACTGAAGAAAACCACAGACAAACACAGCAGCATCAAAGAACGTGGTCTACGCCACACACTCCTATCAGTTTTGTTATCTTCCCATATCAAAATAGGAAATATGTTTTCTTTTAGTTTAGTGAGATCTGGTAACTTCTGTGATTAACAAGAATGTTGATTAAAATCAGGTCACTCAATTTAACATAATGACAGGGTATAGGCAATACCTTTTGAATAAGCAATTAAAAAGAAGGAAAATATGAAAATATCGAAGATGATTCTTAGAGAAATACTGGTAAACAACTGAACTTTATGTACTATAAATTAAATTCAAGCTAATTTAAAGCCCTGTCCCTCCTTGCAGTGACAGGAGAAGTCCATGTGTCCCCTCGCCCGTTCCGCGGGCCAGGATTTAATGCATACGCCCGATAGTCCCGCCACCACCCCTTCCTGCAGCACAGCTTCTGAAGTTGTTCTTGTGTGTGTGGTGTCCTGTATACGTGTGCTTGTGCAAAGACTAGTTACTTGAGCGTTGGCTGTATTACACACTGTAGACGTTACAGGCTCTTCAGAAGCAGAGCAGATGCCCTGTGCCGACGAAGGAGCTTGTTGCAGTTCTTTCAGACTTTGTCCCTTTTCAAGTTTTGGTCGGTGAAGGATGGCGTTTTGAGGACTGCTGGAGGAAGTTTTCACTGTGGAGGCCTGACCATGCTTTTTAGATGATTAGCTCTCATTTTACATGCGGATCCTGCTTTTAGCACGGACCTTTCCCATTTGTAATTTCTCTCATCTGTTCTGCAGTTCTTTGGGACTGCTTGGGCCTCCCGAGAGTAACGTGGTCCCGCTGAGAACCGGTTCTCTTCTGAAGGCTTTGGTCACTCACTGTCTGGAAAATCTTTGAAATGGATGAGTTTCCACTGCACACTCTTGTTTTTCAAAAAAAAGTTTCAGGGAAATTATCCTTAGTCCAGAAATTGACTTTTATTTTTTTGCTGATCCCTCAAATTTAATATTCATTACATAGGTATCTCACATGTAAAGAATAATTTTCTAAGCACTGAAATTCATGAAATCATCAAAAAATGTTTTTCTCTTCAGATAACGCATGCACAGACAAAGAAGTTAAGAGGGATGTGATCATTATTTGATAATACTTGGTGTGCTTAGTGGTAAATTACAAGTAGCAGGTAATAGGCCCAAAGGGAAGAAAAACCAAATTGCATCATCTAAAATCAAGGTAACAACATCTGGAGAAGTTTTCCAGAACTATGGACACAGTCTCCTCCTTTGGTTGCTCCAGACATTTTCATTAGGAAGAAGGTACAATCATATAGCTCTAGTTCCTGCTGTATCAGTTGGCATGGAACAGTAGTGTACCCTGCACAATTTATTAAATCCCATTGTTAGTCCACAGAATCGCAGTTCTTAATTATCTGTAACCTTTTAGGAAGTGGGATTAAAGTCAAGTTTCTTTGGGTGTTTCTTACCCAGGATTTTTGTTTCCTGGTGACATACTGGTAGTTTCTAGAACATATTTTAATTTTAATATCTCATGGTCCTCTCACCAACATTTGGTGCGTTTCTTTTATTATCACAGATTCTCTGGGTTTATTGCTGATTGTCTCTGAAAAAAAAAAAAACGATTAAAGATTGTGTTTTGTAACACTTCATTGAGAAGGCTCTTACCCAGGGTCTATTGGCAAGAAGACTGAGTTTCTTGCACTGCAGGCAAGGTGGTTTTTTGTTGTTTTTTATTTTCTTGAGCAGCATATGGGACTGTATTTTCAAGGAGTTAACAGTCCCCACAGGGGATAGATTTTTCATAAATATTCTGCATGCAGAAACCCCTTGATTTATATGGCCAGATTTAATAAATCTGGTCAACTTGTGCGTTATGAACATTCCTCCTAATTGGACCTGAAATGACTGAATTAAAGCATATGTCTAGACTGCAGGAAAACTGCCCTCAGTCTTTGTCCATTAATCACCAGAGGTAAGGACCGGATGGAGTGATGTGGCTCTCTTTTGGCCCAGGTTTCTTTCCCATGGATTTGAAATATGCATCTGAATCCAAGAGCAAGGCAGTGCTTTTGGGTGGTACCATAGAGCAATAGCTCTCTTGGATTTGTGGAATAGTCATAAACAGAATAGTCTTATCCTCTGATGGATGACATAACCGCTTGAGTACACTTTCTGTCTGGTAGAAAGTGCCATTACTAACTAAATAACCCTACTCCCCCGGCTGGAATTTGTCCTGGTATTTTAGGGCAAAGTGTTAGCAGGTTGATTTGTTGATTTTTCCTCTCTTTCTTGACAGCTCCTAGACTGTTTTGTCATCCCAGTGGTGATACTGCTCTCCTGGTTCTTCTTACTGGTACGATACAAGGCAGTACATTTCATTGGGATCGTGGTCTGCATTCTGGGCATGGGCTGCATGGCAGGAGCAGATGTCCTCGTTGGGAGACAGCAAGGAGCAGGTGAGTAAGGATGGATGGGTTGTATGACCAAGTTCTGTTCAGAGAAACCATTGACCGGAACATGTCAGATTGGGACAAAAAAAAAAAAAAAAAGGGAGAATTGGCGAGAAATCCTGTGCCTTCATGGATCCAAAGCACTGCACCTTTGAAAGTTGCTTCCTTGTCAGAAGGGACAGAGAACAAAAATGAGTTGACACTTAGAAGTCAGCACTGCTGCAAACGAACTTCAGGGACCCTGCGTCTGCAACGCAGGTCACCCTCTGTGCAGGCCTGGGGACAAACCAAATGCATGTAGTTTCATTCAGTTTTGGCTTAGTTGTTTGACTGCAAACCTCAAATGCTTCCTTTCCAAATTGGCTACATCTTTGAGTCATAAGCGCCTCTCACGTCCACTGTGTACTCTTACTTCTCCTGAACTTTGCTCCTTTTTTGTACGGAGGAAGGGTCACTGGGTAGCTGCTAAAAGACACCGAACCTCCATACTAACTGTACCAATTGGGTTCTGCACACAGTCTCAGAGTAAAGGTTTAGGATTTGCCTGCATCATTGTTGAAAAGAACATTCTTGTGTGTAAAATGCTCTTTTTTATGTGTGGCGTCATGTGAATGATATGTGTGTAGCTATTAACGCAGACTAGACAGAGTTAGATTTCATCGATCAACTTCCTCTGTCACATTGATTTCTCTAGTGCCAACCCAAATGATGTGGGAAGGCTGGAAATTCTTTTCAAAGATTGTCAATTAGGCACAGTTTTCATTCTTAATTAAAAGCACTGAATTGTGAGCTGAGCATAATACACTGGGATTTAAAATTCTTGACTCAGCTTTCTGAATACAAATGCAAGTGCTGTAAGAACTGCATTTGCCAGGATGCTACTAAATAAAACAAGGGAGTTTGTGACAGTACTCACCCTATCTCCCTGCTCCCTTTTATCCCTGTCCTCTATCCTAAAAGGAGGTTTCCTCCAGAAATAGCCCTGCCCCAGCTAAAAAGGAAAGAATATACTGCATTGGGAATGCCTGATTTCAGAGGGATTGGGATTTCAACCCTGGGTTCCAGAGGAAACATCTTGTGTCCGTGTAATCTAGAGGGTAACATGCCAGGGCAGGTGAGTTGTGGATCAGCAGGAGCGTGTGGGCTCAGCGATGGACCTCAGTGGACAAGGAACAGATTGAAGAACACTGACACTTTGCCATCCAACTGCAATAATTAGATATTATTTGCTGTATTCATTGCTAAACCACGGGTATAGCTGTTAGGTAAATTTGTCCAGAATAATCTGTTAAAATGCATTATTGCCTTTTAATTTGGACCTACACATGAAAAACTGTGTCCATGCTTATTGCTACGCAGAGAGTCTTCAGGGGTTTTTTTAAGTGGCAAAATGATGTTATTAGTGATGTTGTCTTTAACAGAGTAAAATAGGTCAGCTGGTTTAATTTATCTGAAGGGGTAAAACTATACATTAAAAATCTACGAATAAAAAGAAGTTTTGTCAGCAAAAGAAATGAGTTCCACACCATTTGTAGGATATTTCCTAGGACTGGGCAAACAAAAGTAAGGAATACACCAAAAGCAATAATGCTGTATCAGTCCCCAGTAAACTCCTCTGTTTATCCTATATTTTAGGGGAAAAGATGTGTTGACACCTGTGTGCCCCTGTTGACCATACTAGTTACTGTATTAGAAGTGCTGTAAGGCTCTGCTAGGCACCTGCTGCATACAGCAATCTAGCCTGCCAGCTCTGACAGTAAGGGAACATGAATTTAAAATACATCACGGAGAGATTAACAAGTATTTTCCAAACTATCTGCAGGAATTAGGTATAATGTGCAGGCATGCTCTGAACTTTCAGTAAATATATGGTAGTTTACTTTTCTCTTGGGAAAAACAATTACTATCAAGTACTTTGTGCTTTATCACCTTACATGCCAAGTATAAATTAAAATAACATTTTCCTGAACTAATACCCCTGAGGTACCTTGGTACTTGTGCACCTGTAATACACAGAGGTCTAAGACACAGAGGTCTAAGTTTTTCATCCAGATTTTTCAAAGGACTTCACAGCTTTAGCTTACCACAGTCTCTGAAAACCAGTCGTTTCAGTCTTGTTAATGAGAGTATGTTTGGTCTAAGATGGGACACATTGAGGATGATTTTTAGATATTATGATCATCACTAATTACAACCAAAAGCAAAAAGAAACACCTCTTAATGCTGGAAGTTAACGTAAAAACGTGGCAAAGTGACCTAGTGAGATTGCAAAAAGCAATTGTGTCAGAACATAGTTTATGTTTAAATGGTTTATGTTACACTATAGTACTATAACTAGTCCCCAAAACATTACCTCCTCTCTGGACTATATGACTTCTGCTTCCAGAGAACATTAAATGTGCGAACAATGGTTAATGCAAAGCGTGTTTTGCCAAGCTATGCCCTATGTTTCTTCAGAAGAATGACCTATGCCATTAAATTGGTCAAGTACAACTATATTAACCTAAAAGTCTTTAGAATGCCTCTAGACAGTTGATATATATTTCCTTAGCAATGAAACAAGTAGATGCATGTGGATTTTACACCCATGAAAATATGTCTATTAGGATATGTCAGTCTTGGGGGAAAGTTCCAAAGTCAGCCTCTTGAGGAAGCAAAGAAAAGGCATTTGACAACCAGGATGCTAGGAATTATTAGGAAGGAAACCAAAAATACAATATAAAACATTTTTATGTCAGTATATAAAATTTTGATGCACTAACCTCTTGAGTACCATGTATTACTCTAGTCATTGCATCTCAAAAAGAAATGACCAGAAAATAAGCCTATAGAAGCAATGGGGAAAGGTGAGAAAGTTGTTCAAGGGCACAAAATGGCTTCAGGATGAAGAGACTGGAGACAGACAGGGATTTTTCATCTCTCAGAAAAGGCAAGAAAGAGACAGAATACGATAAAGATACATGAAGTCTTCGGTGGTATGGAAAGGGTCAATACAGAGTGATTCTTAAATATTTTGCACAATCAGAAAATTATGGGATGCCAAATATAATTTTGAGCTATCAGGCTTAAAAACTAAAAACATGAAGTACGTTTTAATAGTAGGCCAAAAATATACAGACTTTACACATATTAATGAAGAATCCCTGAAGATCTATGAAGTTTGATGGTCTAATGCAACTTCCATCTCAGAAAATCCCTCATCTACTGAGAATTGACTGATAAAAATCCCTCTGTTCTTCCCAGTTTCTTTATGCTTTCCTCAGCCGCCCTGTGCTGCCCAGTGCCAGAGGGTCCTGGGCTGGGCAGTCCTGTGCTCTGACCAGATCTTGGCTGCTTCTTCTGGGAAAGCCCTGGAGGTTGAGGCTCACACTGTGAGCGTGAGTGCGCTTTGGGGAGAGCCATCGCTGTGTGGTGCTCGGGGCCATCCCATCTCTATGAAGACGCTCAGCCTCTGAGCCGTCTTTGTTTCGCAGATGCAAAAGGATGGTATTTTTGTCTCAGCAGTTCAGCACAGCCAAGCTCTAAGGTCAAAAGCTTTTTCAGCGGTACTTCCCTGAAGTGTCAGTGAGTAGCTGTAATAAATACCAAATGAATGAGCTCAGTGAGGGGTGATTGGAGCCACTGTGGAACATCAAATTCATCAGGGGTATGAAGAGGTTTTGTAAAGTGCTGATGCTTATTTTAAATTAAGGGCGTCTTCCATGGCTGATTGCAAAAGAAGGCTAAAAGGAAAATAAGTACTAAATCTTAAAAAGATAAATGGTCAAATATAAACATGCTGTCAGTCAGGGTACATGCAAAAGAGAAATTCAGTGAGAGACTGAATGAATACACAAAAGAGAAATCTAGTAATGTTTGCTAAATACACAGAAGCCACATCTCCTCTGAGCTGAAAAATGTTGGAGACGAAGAGAGTATTACTGGGAGTATTTTAAACTTTACCCCATTCCTGTTTGTCCCTAAACAACTTATACTTGTCTGGTGCTTATAGCCAGTGTTGGAAAGAGGATACTGAATAAATGAACCCTTGGTCTGTCCTGTTATGACCATTCTTATTTTCATAAATTTCTTTTCACTGTAAATTTTCAGCGTTGTAGTTTGGAATGAAAAGTGAAAGCTTAAAAGAGCTCTATAAAGAAAAATGTTGAAAAGATCATGTTGAACCAGTCAGAATATTTGGCTTCCATAGGTATTGTAAAAGAAAACAAAGTTTCTTTAAAAAACAAACCGAAACAAAACAGTCTAGTACTTCAGCATTTCTACTGAACCTTTTCAAAAGAAATTCCGTTATATCCAGCCCTTCAGAATATGGTTCTGCAGCAATGTCTGACAGCTTTGTGAAGCCGTAGCTCTTGTAGAAATCATTTAACAAGCCATATGTGCAGAGGGAATTGGATGCATCAGTTTGCAAAGCCAAGACTTCAGTTTTCAAGCTGAAACTTGATCTTGATCAGCCCTCCCTGCACCCAATAATAAAAGCCTCCAAGACTTAAAAAGATTTCAAACAGTCTTTGATAATACAATGTTTTAGTAATTATATATACCTGGAGGTACTGAAAATACATCTTAGTGTTCATTGCATGCATTAGGTACCGCTATGTTAATTGAACCTCTTTTAAAAATCTGTCATTATCATCACCCTGTCTACACCCCATCCTTCCTCCTCTCTTTCTTGTCAAACAGCTTCATGTGAGAATGAGGTCAATATTGGGGTTGTAATCATTTCTTCACTCATTTCACAGGTACATGGAATTTTTCAGTTGGTTTCATATCTATATACTGAATATGTTTTAGACTGGTTAGATTTCAAGATGAGATGCAAACTGCTCTATATAGCTGAGTCACATTCTAGCTACAAAAAAAGTAATAATAAAATAAAAAGGATTAGTCACTGAAGAGTGCCACTTGGTTTCTATATTTTTTTACAAATTTTTCAGATTCTGTCAGATTCTTTTATCTACAGCACAGATAGTACTCTCCCTTTGCCTCTGCTAGATTTTGCTCAGGTATTGAATGAAAATGGTTAAAATGACAGAATGTTTACATTCAGCTGCTTAACCCAGATATGGGCTACTTAGCGACTGAGGATTGAAATCTGTAGGGAAGAACCTGCAATGGTTCTAGACAAAAGATTGTTGCGTTGAGACATTCTGATTTTTCCCCTGTTTATTCCTAGGTGAAAATAAACTGATAGGGGATCTCTTGGTACTGGGCGGAGCAACGCTATATGGCATCTCAAACGTTTGTGAGGAGTATATCGTCCGAAATCTGAGTCGAGTGGAATTCCTGGGCATGATCGGACTCTTTGGCTCCTTCTTCAGTGGAATTCAGCTGTAAGTGAGCAGGTTTGAGCCCCAAAGTCATTCAAATAAGTTCAGCTGTGGCCTCCATTGAGGCAGTCTAATGCTCTCTTCAAAGGTAGCCATTACCTGTGGAGAGCAGATGTCCTCTAATTCTGGAATTTGCATTGGTTTTCATATTTCAGATTGGTGGATTTGAATAATAAGACAAATTTGTACCTAAGTAGTCTAATTCAAGGACTGGTGTCCTGGAGTAGTCACGTGGGGAGGGAGGAGTAGGAGACGTCCTACCATCTTGTTGCTGGAAGACAGGTGGATACTTCACATGTTGGTCTGATCTGTGAATAACGAAATCTACAACTCTCTCTGGTTCTGTTTCATACTTTTTAAAAAGTCACTTAGATTTCTAAACAGGTAGAAAACATGTCCAGTCAGAAGGTATTTTACTAATTGGCTCATCCTCTGTAAATACATTATGATGTGGCAGAAATAATGAAAAAGCCTTTAAGAAACCAGCCTTTCACTTCAAAATATTTAGTACTCAGGTGGATGTCACATGGATTTCAGAAACTGTCTCTATCCACATGTATCTAATGAGCATCTCACTTGCAAGCCTAAGAGCTGGAAGGTAGCTTCCAGTGTTGTAATACCGCAACTGATGAAAGTGTAGTAAAAGTCACCATGAAAGATCGCTACATTTTATGCAGATCCGTCACTGTTGCTTGTCACACAGAATTACTTTTGATTTTTAGTCAAATCCAAGTTACTTCCCTGCTCATCTGAGCTACTCAGCTTCTAGGAACAGGGACTGATCAAAGCAACGACCCATCAGTTCCCACTTAATTAGTTCTATTTCTTTAGCCAGAAAACTTATTATATTTATGTGGGATCTGAACACGTGACTTAAAATGATTTATATTAACTGGCTGCCACACAAGTGGTTCCTATTTTAAAAATATGGCATTCAAGAGCACGTAAATGTGCCTTGCATCTTTGGCTAAAGCATTTTTGTTACCTACAGTGTCCATGATAGGTAGATACTAACTGATTCTAAGGGCATCAAGGCAGCGCCCTTGTCTTGCTCTGTGTCTGTAAACTGCCATGTACATGTCTCGTATTCCTGAATTTAATTATAGTGCCATTACCCCCTCTTGACCCAAGCAGTTAGTCACAATTCAGGGTCTGTGAGTTGTTTTGCTGGGGAGAAGAAGCTGGTGCTGGAACAAGGCATCTTTGTATACAGAGGACACAACTGGAAGGAAACAATAAGAAATCATTTATTTGCTGAAAGCCCTAATGTTTTCCTACTCAACCATTAGCCCAGAAGTTCTCACCAGCAGCTTTTGCTCCCCCGGCCTCTGCAGATTTTTGCTGCTAGTGCTTTTGTGGCACTTTGTGGAGACCCAACCATACTTAGCTCATATATGTACTTTTTTAACAAGGTGGAAAAAGCTTGCATATCAGGACAGGCCAATAATATTTCTGCTACTTAGTTCCATGAAGCAATTCAGCATTTTCTTACCTTTGCCTGTAATGAAGAGCAGATGTCACGTAGCTATGTGTTCACAGAGTAGAATCACACAATCATAGAATAACTTACTTTGTAATGGACCGCTGAAGGTCGTCGAGTTCAAGCTCCTGCTCAAAGCTAACTTCAAAGTTATGTCATGTTGCTTAGGAACTTGTACAGTTGACTTCTTAATATTTTCAAGAATTGAAATGCTAGTCCTACTGGGCAACCTGTTCCAGTGTTTGCCCAGTATTTTTTTTTCATTATATGTAATCAGAGTTTCCCACATTGCAACTTGTGTCCATTGTCATTCATCCTTTTGTTGTGCATCTCCAAGAAAAGTATGAGTCTTATCTTTTCTGTAACTACCCGTTAGGTAGTTAAGACAGCAAATTTATTGTCCCGTCCTCCTTCCCCCCATCTTAGCCTTCTCTTCTTCACACTGAACAAACCCTGCTGTTTCAGCATCTCGTCTTACAACATGTGCTCCAGCTGCCTGACCATTATGATGGAGCTCCACTGTAGTCCTTCGAATTTGTAAAAGTCTGTCTTATTCCTGGATACAGTACTCCAGCTGCTGCCTCACAAATCATGTCCTTCAACTTGCTGGCCAGATTCTTACTAACATAGCCCAGGATTCTGTTGGTCTTCTCTGCTCCAAGGACACATTGCTGAGTCATGTTCAGGTTGATGTCTACCAGGACTTCAAAGTTTATTTCTAAAAAGGAACTTTCTATCCATTCAGCTCCCAGCCTGTACTGTTGCATAGGGTTATTCCACCCCAGGTGCAGGAGTTCATATTTGCTTTTCTTGAACTTCATGAGGTTTCTCTTGGCCCTTTTCCTCAGACTACATTGTGGGTAGTCCACCCATCTAGTCCATACCTCTTCAGACTCAAAGGATCTTTTAGGAAATCATGTTGGAAGCTTTGCTAAGGTCAAGGTAGGTTACACCTCATCCTTTCATTCATGCCTGCTCCTTTATTTACTGAGCCAGTCATCTCATCATAGAAGGCAATCAGTTTGATCAGGTGTGGTTTACCCTTGAAAAGTCTGTGCTGGCTGTTTCCAGTGATGTCTTCCTAATTTCCTGTAAATAGCTTCTGGGAAGATTTGCTCCATAATCTTCCCAAAAGTTAGCATATGGCTGACCAGGCTATAGTTTTTGCTCTTTTTGAAAATGGATGTTGCATTTGTCTCTTTTCAGTCATCAGGGACCTTCTCCAATCACCACAACCTTTCAAAGATCATTGTGGTTCCAATTCTTCAGTGAATTTGGCATCACTAAATGGCAACTTCTGGCAAAGTTGCTGTTACTTCTCTTTGTTTCACAGATCATAATGAATCACAGACTATAGCATATTGTTTTATACTTCTTTTGTATCAGATAGGCAATAGTATGAAGGCAATGTTCCTACATTTAAATTATATCAAAATTTGTTTGCCAGAAAGAGAGACATTGCAGTCTGTTTTCATGATATTCTTCAGGAATTACTGATAGGAGAGACATATGCCTTATGCATGTAAAGACACTTTTAATTTAGTTATTTTGCAGACAAAATAATCTTATTATTCTATACGTAGCATTAGATTTGCCACACATCAGCAGCAAGCAAATTAGAATTTCCAGGATGCAGCTCTCCAGACCAGATTAATCTGGAAGGCACTGAGTTCCTGCAGTTTTACTGTTAGACTTGGTCTTCCACGTGCCACCTTTTGTACTAGACACTTTGTTTTTCAATCAGTGTAATTCCATGTTTTATACTTGTTTAAAATAGTGTCCAGACTAGCATGCAGAGTTCTGCACAGCAGGAGTTATCTGGAAATTGCAGATCAGAGAAAGCGATTAGCTGAGTGAAGACCTAGCTCATGCGATACCTAATCTCAAAGGGTCTGTTTGCCTGGATTGGGAAGAGCTAACTTGTTGCCACCTTAGAATTTTCTGGATCTGGGATTTTGATATTAATGTACAATGCAAGACTTACAAGATATTGAAAGTAGACCTTTGCAGCTTGGCCCATCCTTCACTTTGTTTCCTGACTTTCATTGCTGTGACTATTTGATCTCTCTCATTGTGTAACGAATCACAGTATTCTCCCCAAAGCCAGCCTGTGATATCTATTTATTTGACACTGCAGAGCCGCTCTGAAGAGTGAATAAATCAGGCAGATACATAATTAATCATTAAAGTTCAAAAGCTTTCAGAATATTAAGTCAGAAGTGTACAAGAGGATTGAATATATAGGGGGATGGGTACTTTGACCAGGTATACAGAGAGCTGCAAATAAACCAGTGGAAATTGTATGCTATCACATCTGATTACTGCCCTGAAGATCTTTCAAATACACAGGCATAGGGATAATGCCAGAGTGGATTAGCAAAGTCTGATTGCATTTGGTTCCTACAGAGATTTTTTGTTATAAGGTTATTTATGTTGTTTTGTCCAGCATTTGAATTGAATGAGTGGAAGTAATTTAACGTCTGTTCTCTTCCATCAAATTTTGCTTTCTCTTCTCTTATAGTGCAATCATGGAACACAAAGAGCTGTTGAAAGTTCCCTGGGATTGGCAAATAGGTAAGAAAACCCTTTATCTCATTGAAGATAGTTGCTGAAGGAGGCGTGGAGACAACCAGTGTTTGGGGAGGCAGGCACAAAGTTTCACAGGAGCCAACGTTTGTGACTTTTCCGCCAGTTACTGCCAGAAGTTGAGCCATGTGCCTTATAACCTTTCTTAAATGATCTGTCCTCCCATTGCCATATTATGCCTTCCTTGCACCATTAGGTTAAGCATAAGAATGCCATAAGATAATTATTCAGACAGCCGTGAAGTAGAACAATAATGGGCTTCCAGTTCTAAGATTCAGTGCAACACTAGGACAAATAAATGAGGTAGTCATTAAAAGCCAAAGCTTTTCAATGAATGCCAAAGAAAGAAATTGGAACCTAACAAAAAAACTAAAAAAGTACTTGCATTGCATATTATAGCCTCATAAACTCATTTCCAAGGGGAGCATTTTTGTATGCAAATGGTTACTTGCTTTCCAAATAGTCTTGGTGGAATATAACAGATGTGTCTTTTAGACAAAATAAGGTAGCATCATGCACAATGAAGCTCTTACGGTGTTCTGCTATGCAGTGGATTGCATTTTCCCATTTCAGTTTGGGGGCTGAGTTTATGATCTAAAACTCCTTTCTAATTAGTCCAACAAATTATTTGCTCTAAAAGCAAATCCACATTTAGGAGAGTCCCTATAATCACTCTTTTACTATTTATGACAATAGAAGAAATAAAAGAATACTAATAGCATAGAACTGATATACTTAGCAGGTGATTCAATCTTTGGCAATTCATTGACAATAGTTTGTTACTTAGTTTCAGAATGAACATCAAAATTTAAGCTCAGAAGTGTGCAAAGGCACAAACAAGATTATGTGGGGAATCCCTGAGGACAGGGGATACAAGTTATGGAACACACCATTGTTTTCTTGAAATTTAGTTCGCTATTTCCTTTCGTCATCATAAACCTTAATAAAAGCAGTGCATCTTTCAAAAAACACTGCACCTAGAAGTCTTGGAGATTTGATGGCTGAGCTGTGAAACTAAATGACAAATCAATTTAAAGTATCCATGGAGAAACACGTTCGACTGAGTACTATAAGTGTATTGGCCTTCTTTAATCTGAGAAAATCAGCATAATTGCATCAGTGTTTGTTTATACTTCATGATAAGGAGCTCAGGGACATCATTAATCTGGTACTGATGGAACTAGCAATGGTCATAGTGAATTAATCTGCTATCCATGTAAATGTCCTATACACTTCCATGGGAGTTCTCTTTTAACTCAATATCAGTGAAATGTGCTATTAAAATAAAGTCTTACTTGATCTGTGATGCCATTAAAATGTCATTGAAAGTTAGTCACTAATTCTGAAGAGTCCCTATGCTTCATAAGGAGGAGATCACCTTAGCAAGAGCATCATAGGTAGGTACTTGTTTTGTTAGAGCCATAATTGGAAATGCGGTGTAGTTGAACACGGATTAAATGGTGACAATTATGTGTAGTTCTGTGTTCTTTCCTGGCTTGCACTGCACTCGGTGTGCTTTCCGTTGCATTGGCAGTGATACAGGGTTGTCAAGTAGTGATTGACAAATCTATGTCAGGGTGTTCACAGCCTTGTCCTGAATAGTTATCCATTGCGACAGACTCAAACCTGCAGTCCAACAGAGTTAAATCATCAGCCTTCTGAACGATAGTGATAAAGTCACAGCAGGCAACCTAATAAATAACTCAAGGTGGCCTGTTGCCATCTGCCATAATTGTGCTATTAAGAATGGATGAGCTACCTTTCAACTGATGTAAAATGCAAATGATTTTTTGAATATAAAGATCTAAAGCCAATCTGTTATGTCTGTTGTGTTTAAAACAGGCTGTGGCCCTCCTGCTTTTAATTTTGGAAATTCCCCTGATAGATAGCATCATCTTCACACTTAGTATAAATCAGTGTAGCTCTGTTTGAATCCTTGAAGGTTTAAGTATTAATACTTGCTGACAAGCTGACTGAAGGAAGAATGATTATACTGTTCTGACTGAGTGGTTTCATATGAGACCGTGACACATTTTGTAGAGTGATAGATGAAATAATAACAAATAAACTAACACCAATTTTAAGAGAAAAGTCAATTTGAATCTCAAGGAAGTGTCCTTTGTTACAGGGGGTTTGAATATTTCTGAATGGTCTTTATTCCAAGGAGATGGTATGAAAAATCATAACTGATTCCATTTCGTCCCAATGAAACAATAGCTTTTGGAGTAAAAACACAAAGGCTAAAACATGCAGCTTTCAACCAGCATGTTCAGGAACTGAAACAAAAGTTCCCAAGGCATGTTAGTCTTGGTGGTACTTGGGCTACTTCAGAGCAGTTCCTGGGGGCAGATCCTGCCCATCTGTGTGAAGATGCCTAGTCTTAAGAGAAATGGGGAAATACTGAGGGATGGGGGCTTGTTCAGCCTGCAGAAGAGAAGGCTTCGAGGAGTTACCTACAAGGAGGTTATCAAAAGGGCAGAGCTAAGGTCTTCACGGCAGTGCATGGCAGGAGGGTGAGAGACAATAGGCAGAAGCTGAGATGAGAGATTCAGACTGGATAAATGGAAATTCGTTCACACCGCAGACAGGCAGGCAGTGGAGCAGGTTGCCCAGAGAGGTTGTGTAGTCTTCATCCTCAGAGGTTTCAAGACCAGGCTAGGCAAAGTCCTGAGCAACATGGTCTGATCTCACAGCTGAGCCTGGTTTGAGCAGGGTTTCAACTAGAGACTTCTGAGGTCCCTTCTAGCCTGAATCATGCCACGATCCTATGATCCTAAGTGCCCAGTTCAGACACTTGTGAGGCATTCACACCCAACCAGGCAAAACCCATGGCCTTACCCATCAAGGTGAACACTGACAGATGAGATGGGATTCCTTCCACCAACTTTAGATACCTGGGATGTGGACATCTGATTTAGATAAATAGACTCCCTTTATCATCAGCAACAATAAACAGGCATGACACAAATCATGCTATGCTAAAGCTAGTGTCTAAAAGAGGTTGGACAATATGCACCCTAAAATTTCCCAGTCTCTTCAATGACCACCAACCCTCAGTATGTGTCCACAGTTAGGTGTAATGAATCCCACCCAAAGCTGCCTTCATGCACATTAAGCCTTTGGTCCAGGACAATGCCAGCACACCTGAAAGCAGACAGTTATGAATGATGAGCTTCTCAGGATTTAACACAGACGAGCTGATCAGCAGATCCTTACAAAAACACCTCCCAAGTTACCAGGTTGCTTCCTTCCAGAGCCTGCTGCAGGCATTTTGGGTGCCATTTGCACGTCAGGGGTGCCCAAGGAAGCCGAGACTCCAAGCCTTTGACTAAAACATATTTTCAGTCTGAAAACTGGCCCTCTAAGAAACAATATCTGAAAATCATATGTTATTTCCAGTTTGCTTATTGTCACCACTAAATGCCATCCAGCTGGTGGGTATTACATGTATTTTTAAGATGCAAATGAAATGCCACTTTATATTCACCTCTGATAGGACAGCTACGGTTTAAACAATCTTTCACTGGAACTGAAATGCCCTTTGGAAGAGCAGCATGTGAAGTGCATGTAGTTGGCTGCCAAAGAATGTGAACACCAAGGCAGTACGATGAAATTATACTGTTAGTTGAGGGCGTAACCCAGCAAAGCACCTGAATATGTCTGTTAAACCAGACTGACCACCAGGGACTCAGTGGACCAGCTGGTGGTTTGCAGACTGTGCTTTGAGAATGTGGACTTTGGGTCCAGAATGGCTTTTGTGCCTGACTTGTTCTTGATTTAAGCCTGGAAGAAAAGCTGACTTAATGCTCATGTATGCAAACAATTTCTCATTGATCAAAACTACGCTCCGTTTGATGCCATCATTTGCTTACTGTAAAAGAGTTGCAGAGTTTGCATAAAACAACTCTTTCAAGCACTACCTAAGACTGATGCTATTGTTACCTATAGAGAGTGCACACCTTAAAAATTTGCTACCTGTTAGTAAAAGCAGTTCTTACCATGATTATCTATATTTTGAATATAAATTCATTATCATGACATAACAATTGATATATGGACACTGACATTTTGTGACTGCTGTATTTGTTTCAGATGAAAGTACACTTCAGTTCAGATGCTTCTAAGGGATTCAAACTATCACAGCTGGGTTTGTCCTTTAGATAGCTTTTCTAAGAATTTTTAACTAAGTGGATCTGCAAGCAGATACAAATCATATGGGCTTTTTTATTTCCCCCCTTCTGATCCCTTTCAGGACTTTGGCAATCAGATTTTCTGCAACTTTTAGTCAATAACAGCATGCTCTGAAGAGCTGGTGTGAGTCTAAATTTAGGCTCATGCACGTATCAGCTGGGAATTCTGCAGCATGCAGCAGCCTAAGAAGTATCATTTGCATGAAAGCAGATGACTGAAGTGCTTGCTGGTTTTTTAACTTCATATTGATTAATTTGCCTTGGGATTTATCAAGTAATAACTGAAGCAATGAATTCTTTCCCAGTAAGTTATTTAGATTTTTAAATGAAATTAGATTTTTACTGTATTTTTTTTTTTTATTGTATTAGTGTCTAACAATCTAATTTGTGTGAGGCATTCTGTAAACACATAGCAAGAAAGAGTCTCAGCTCTGGAAAGGTTTATTAAGGAAGGCAGACAAAAAGGGGTAGAGGAACAGAAGTGAAAAACTGTGAAGTAATTTGTCAGGTTTGGTGGCAAAACAGGACTAGGACATCTGTCACTTCAGTGCTGTCCTCATGCATTCATCCCTTGGCTCATTAACTCCTTTGCAGATACTTTTGCATTCGTTTTTTGAGTCCATTCCCACAAAATATTGTGTGAACACTCGGCTGAACTCAGTTGGTATTGGGGATGTTCATCTCCTTAAGAGACTAGATTTAATGCGTCCAAATGCATCATTTCATCCAAATTTATGTTGGACATGAGGTATTCACTAGTAGTATAAAACACCGATGTAAAACAGCACTGCTGTTACGGAGACGACAGAGGAAGGACCTTGTGTCCACAGCTGATATGGTTTTCACTGGTTTTCTTATATACTTAGAATTATGTTCTTAGTTTCTCTGTATATACGTGTATCTTAATAATTTGATTCCATGTTTCTTTGAAAAAGCATTATTCGTTCTTTTCTAAAAACACAGCCTTCTTCCTCCCAACACAAGTCATTTCTGCAGGCTATGAAAGGTCACTTTGCTTCTTGTTTCTCTTTGCAGGCTTGTTGTATGTTGGCTTTAGCGCCTGTATGTTTGGCCTCTACAGTTTTATGCCAGTGGTCATAAAGAAAACCAGTGCTACTGCCGTCAACCTCTCCCTACTCACGGCTGACCTGTACAGCCTCTTCTGTGGATTATTCCTCTTCCACTACAAGGTATGTGGAAATGAGAGATGTATTTGGGTAATAGCAGTCTGCCTGAAGAAACATCGATGCAGAACAATGAAACAAAAGAAGCCTCCAAACTTCGTTAGTTCTACACAGGAAAAGTGTGGATTTTTTTATACTTCAGGCTTCCCACACCAAAACCAATTTTATTTTATGATTTTTAGTTTTTAAAGAGAGAGAATTTATCTTGTTGTTATGAGTTTTAAGATTTGAGTACTTGTTCGTCAGCAACTGTATCACTAATTTCATTTTCCTTATCAGAGGTAACTTTCGACTGCTGTGACCAGAGCCAGGATGGCAGCATGAAGGGGAGGGCTCTTCCAAAAATCCCATAGGTTTTTTTTTTTTGCCTGGGAACAAGGTCATTTCATTCATGCTGATTCTGAATTTGTAAGTTGTAATTGTCCGTGAATTACATCTTTCTTGTCAGCCAAACCAATGGCTTGCCTATTAGTGTAAATGCCAAAACATGTAGCAGATTTGTGTTGAAGTTAAACTTTTACCTCTCAGATCCTCTAATATTTAAAACATTGTGTTGTACAGGCACACATTTGGTCTCCAGTTACAAGGAATGGCACTTCATTATTCACAACTATCCTTCCCAGTGTCCATCATATGAAAGTATCATCAGGGTGCTGGAGGCAATTGCTTTGTACCATCATTTATTCGTAAGAGGTTGGTTACTTGTGAGCTACAATGGTGGCCCAGAGAAGTGTTAGGTAAAGGAAAACCGTAAAATTCTGAGTAGCTAACCAACTCAAATCAGATCTTGTGATCCGAATGGTACCTGAATGAATCTGAACGAGACAGTGAAAGTTCAAAACTTCAGAGTCCAACACAAAATTGTTTTTTGCTATTGCCTTTTATTTTGGTTTTATGTTTTTAAGAATTTTGCAGACAGAAGAAAAGCAAGTATAGAAACAAAAAACTGAACAAGGACACAATGTAGAGGTTGTCTGCTGCTTCGCAGGTCTGTCTCATGGTGATATGGTTCCTTGTTCTTTCTGCCCCACACTTCAAAGTGTTTGACATTAGGTATTAGCTGAAAATTGTTATCGCCTGTTAATAATATTGTTTGATACACATAGCAAAATATATTTAGTGATGTTAGTCCACTGTTTCTAAGAAAAATGGCTGTATTACACAGTAAAAGACAGACAAATTTAATTCTGAAAACAGTGGTGGTGGTGTTCCAGCAAAATCAAACTCTGTTAGGAGGAGAGCCTCAAAAGGCAGCAGGGGTTGGACAGCTTTGTGCTGAGGATTGCTCAAACCTAACAAAAAAGGCAATTTTGCAAATGCAAACCTTAGAAATACAGAAAGTGCATAGAAGGTTTCAGTTCTTCCTAATAGTTAAGTACATTAGCAGAGCCAGGAAGGCAGAATTTTCAACCTCATTGATGCCCTAGCTTTCTACAGTAAGTGCATGTCAGCTCTCGAGCACAGTGGCACCTTGGCCTCCCTTTAAGACCTCTACTGAAAAAGTGCTCAAGAGGAGAAGGCTCAGAACTGGAAGGTTTTCTGGTTGAAAGCATCTGTCCTGATAAACTGGTTGAGTTCTCCTTCTGAAGTAGCTGGTGGTCCCATCTGCCCCTTGCTCATCTGATTAGAAACCTGAAAATCTCATTCTCCCACAGTTAACTGTATCATGGAGTCTTCTTCATAAACTCTTCTCAAACTCTTACTTCAGCCTATTTAGGTTCTTTACCTCCAGTGCTCTCCTTGGGAAGCTATTTCAGAACATCACTATTCGTGTGTCTGTCCTTTGTTCTTCCCAACTGAAGTGCTGATAACGAGAAGACCTTTGTCAGGACTCTGTGGAAGGGCCTTTACCTGAAATGTAGTATCAACTTCCCAAGCTGTCAGTGTCTCCTTTCACACCCTTCAAACTTACATTGCAGAAGAAATTTGAAAAGAGGGGCTATATTCAGAGATCATCTAGATTTGAAAGCCTATTTAGTTATCTGGTTACTTCCCATGTTTTTATCCTTAGTCAGATCACCTCCTCCTTTTCTTTCTGGTTTACTATCAGGTATCATTTTATATGAGGAAGTAGAACTGTGAAATGTGTGACTTGCACTCAATAATGAAGTCTAACATGTTAACATTAAATGATCTAAATTAATTCCCCTCGTAAGACTGTGAGCATTTCCTTGTTTTCTAGCTTCTAAAAAGCTGTTTCGTTCCCAGCCCAGCTGTGTGTCTCCTTCAGATACACAACTCCTTCTGCCTGTTGGTGCACTGGCCGATGGGCGCAGCCCCACTTCCCAGGGAAGCGAATGGGTTTATGCTGGATTAGGGACAACTGAGTGGTTTAGTGCCCCTTGCAGAATATAATTTTATGAGGCTTTCAAGAAACAGTTACAATTTTTCCCCTGTGCTGCTACTTTTATCACCAGACAGGTTTATTGCACCTATAGCAGTAAATCTATGAAAATCCATGGAAAATGCAGGAAATTAGTTTAACTGGGCTTTAGAGCCTCTGAAACCAAACTGAAGAGAGGATTGCGTTTGAAGTGTTTTGATTTGTTAGCATTTCATTTTTTTTTTAATAATACAGACTTGCAACTTCATGACATGCGGGACAGTGAGTTTATGAACAGTTGCATTTCTATTCTTACCCCATATGCAGATATCTTTGGAGCTCATTGAACAGTTCCCAGACCCAGGGAAGTTAGAAATACAGAATGTTAACTTGGCAGAACTCTGGTGATGTAATTCAAGATGTTAATTGTTCAAGGTGTTATTATATTAAAATATAATGATTTATGACTTTCAGTTTGAGATAGATGACTCTATTGTAGTGCATCATTCTTAAAATTATCTGCATCCCTCAAATAAAAGCTCTCTTTTTAATTCCTCTGTAATCAATAATTCATTCCAAATACTCCAGTGGATGGGGAAATGCGTCTGGCCTCTTTGGTGGCTGAATATTGGCCACTGCCATAGCATTTAAGTATCCAACTCTATATCTTCAATCCTTTTTTTAAATTCTCACTACATTGATCTTTTTATACAATTTTGATATTCAAAACTTCCCTAGCTATCTGTAATCATTGTACCTTCTTCTTAAGCACAACTGAATTATCTCCTGCTTTGAAAAACAAAGACCATCAGAGTCCTAAAACTTAACAGGTTTATTATTATTATTATTA